AAAAATGTAAGGTGGGCTTGAGGCATGGTTGGACCCAGGGGCTCAACTGATGTTTCTGAGACTTGATTCTGCACTCTTACCGCTCAGCTATGTAGATGAACAGCCCACCTGGGGCTGCTGCAATGTGAGATGCCATTAACTGTTGCTAAGCGAGCATCACTCCTGATTTCCACATCCTGGCCTTGTCACCTCCATGACTGAGACTTGGGCTGTCACATGAGACTGAACTCCTCAATGCTGCGTCTCCAACTCCAACCCCAACCCAGAGGCCTCTCTCCTTGCCAGAACATTGCCAGCAGATATGACAGGGCGAGTTCTGATGCTTGTTTTCTGGGTGAAATCTCTGGATTCTCCTGGATATAGGGATTCAGGGCAGTAGGAGCAGGCCTGCCTATCAGCATCAGCCATTACCTGGTGTATGTCAAGTTAGTAGCCTAACCTTTCTGAGCCTCAGTTTCCTCATCTGTAAAGAGGAGATTTTATCTCCTAGGATTGTTTTGAAGGTTAAATGAAACGATACATGTAAAGCACTTAGCACAGAGGATAAACCATCAAACATGAGCTGCAGTTACTCTGCTAATTTTATACTGCAAATAAAAGAAATTATAGGATTTTAAGCTTCCTGTTTCAGGGTAGAATTTTATATCTTTATAAATATAAAATTCCTTTAGAATGAAAATACTATTACTAATAGCTACATTAGTTTTATACTTCCTATATGGTAGGTACTTTACATTTATTCCTCACAACTCTTTGCTTATGAGGAAACCAAGGCTCGGGAGATTAAATTGATTACCAGGGACACACAGCTCATCCTCTCCAATGCCCAACCTCTAACCACTGCTCTGCTCTGCTTTTCTAGAATGGTGTGGGGAAGTAGAAAATAAAGAGGGTCTTATTTGATACATTTAAGGATATTTGCCTCATATCAATGCTAATGGAAAAAAATAGAGGAATGTGGTATTAAAAAAATCTAGGGGGATGATTTAACATTTAAAAATTAAGTGTTTTTCTGAGTGGTGGGAGTATGAATAATATTTCTTGTTGTTCTGTATGGTCCAAGTTTTCTAGTCTTTGAGTACTTATTACATTGTAGTAGAAGGGGAGATAAAATTCTACCCAGAAACAGGAAACTTATTTTTAACCTAATATAAGCCAGTTTTAACAAGTTATAGGGTTAATCATGATTTGAACAATTTCCCCCAAATTGCAACATTTTTACAAACTGCAAATGAAGTTTCTTTTTCTTAGGACACCACAGGCAACAGATTGAGACCTGCCAGGAGGTATTTTCAGCCCATGAATTGAGGTGTGGTAGAAAGGACTGTGAACTTGGAGACCTGGATCCTGTTCATGGCCCGGGCTCTTACCTGCTGAGAGGCACTGAGGCAATTACTTATTCTCTCTCAGCCTCAGTTTCCTCTTCTGTCAAATGAGTATAATAAAATCCCACCTTCCTGCCTGACCAAGGCAGGAAGATTAATATAAAGATTAATGATATCAGTAGGTGTGAAATAGATTGCGGGAAATCCCACAGCCAGCCAAAGGTCTAGAGAGCATTCCCAGGAGAGTGGTAGGGCCTGCTGGTCCCAAATGAAGCATGAGAAACTCAGTGCACTGGCTTCTGGGGAAGCATATCGTGTCATGGGGACCAGCAAATCCTGCTTGCACCACTTAGGTCACCCAGAGGGTCCCACTCTCTTAGGGGAATCTAGGTAACAGTTGCCTTTCTATCCTATTTTTTAGTATTTACACTAGAGTTTACAATGTGTATCTTGACTTATTTCACTTTACTTTCAAGTAATATTATGTTAATACTACTTTTTTCATATAAAAGAATCTTTCTACAGTATATACTTTCTACAGTATATACTTTCATTTTATCCTTTCCATCCTTTGTGCTGTTGTTGAACTTTTACTTCTATGTATGTTATAAACATCATACATTTTTCAGCTTCTTCCCTCTCTTTGTTGCAATTTAGATGGTTTCTATTGCCATGTTTTCAAGTTCACTCATCTTCTGTGTGTCTAATATGCTGTTAATCCCATCCAGTGTAATTTTTATTATAGATATTATATTTTCAGCATTAGATATTTACTTTTGTTCTTTTTTACGTATTCCATTTCTCTACTCTTTATGTTCATAATTTCCTTCAATTTCTTGGAAATATTTAAAATAGATATTTTTAAATTCTTATTGTTAATTCCATGATCTCTGTCAGTTCTGGGTCTGCTTCTGTTGACTGTATTTTCTCCTAGTTATGGGTCTTGCTTTTCTGCTTCTTTGCATATTCAGGAATTTTTTTGTGTGATATTGATATGAATATTATATTGTCGAATGTCTAAATTTTGTTTTCCTCATTGAAAGACTATTGGACTTATTCACCAGGTAGTTAAGTTACTTGTAGATCAGCTTGATTTTTTTTTTTAAACTGCGTTTTTAAGTTTCATGAGGGCAGGTCTAAAGCAGCCTTTACTCTGGAGCTAGTTCAGCCATGTTGCTATGGCATGAGCCTTCTGGGGCCTCTGCTGAGTGCCCCAGGAGTTCAACAAGGACTCTTCACTCTGGCTGTTTGGAACTTGAATATCTCCCAGCCTTGAATGAGCTCTGGGAAGTGTTCAACTTATAAGCTCCCTGATGCTTGTTCTTTCTTTAGTAATTGTTTCTTGGCCAGCTGTGGAATCTCACCCTATCCAGCCACAGACTCCAGGGGACCCTTACATGCTCTCTGAGACATCTGAACCACTCTCTCTTTGCAGTTTTCTCCCCTCTGGTATGCTGCCCTTTCAGCTACCACTTTCCTAAACTCACTTTTTCTCTTCAGCTCAGTGAAATGGCTGTTCTGCCTGGGTTCCCTCCTGCACTGTGGTCTAATAAACACCTAAAGGTGGACACCCAGGCCATCATAGGACTCCCCTCCTTGGTCTCCCTTCTCTCAGGGATCACAGTCGTACACTGTCCACACAGTCCTGCACTGTCTATTCTCTGGTGTCTGAAAATGCTTGTTTCATATATTTTGTCTCATTTTCTAGTTGTTTACAGTGGGAACTAGCAATTCCCTTTGAGATCTCTCTGGGGTGGTGCACCAGTGGCCTGCACTGGTTATGTACTCCCTCAAGATACTTTTACAAAAGTGGACTTAGGAATAATAAAAGTCAACAGAAAATTGATAGGGTCATTCTGATCTGCTTTTTAGAAAAACTCAGGGTGAAGACCCACAAACCAGCACCAAGTGGAATTTTGCAACAGGAATCTTTGTTGTCCATCAACTGATGACTGGATAAATAAAATGTGGTACATCCATATAATGGAATATTATTCAGTAATAAAAAGGAATGAGCTACTGATACATGCTACAATGTGAATGAGTCTTGAAAACATTGTGCTAAGTGAAAGAAACTAGTCACAAAAGACCATACATTATATGGTTTCATTTATATGAACTGTCCAGAATAGATGAATTTATAGAGACAGAATGTACATCAGTGATTGTTTAGGGTAGGGACAGGGCATGAAGGGTAACTGCTAATGGTTACAAAATTTCTTTGAGGAGATTGAAATGTTCTAAAATTAGATTGTGGTGATGATTGACCAACCTTGTGAATATACTAAAAACCATTGAATTGTATATTTTAAATGAGTGAGTACATCTCAATAAAACTGTTGTTTTTAAAAAAGAAGAAAAAATGTAGCCGTTTTCTCATGTGTGAAGGTAATGAAGGAATGGGAAGGGGCCGTAGTGTGGCAGAAAGGAAGTCTCAGTTATTATATTGGTGCATGAGCATGTCACAAGTAGTATTCTATCTGGGACTAAAAATGTGACCACAGAAGTGGCCACATTTATAGTTCATTATATAGTTCATTGGGGTAGGACTAATGTAGGAGGCTAATCCTAAAATTCATTTGCTCTTTCTGGATTACTTTAGTTATAAGAGAATTCTTGCAGTTTTGGTGTGAGCCCCTCCTTTTAGCTTCCTCTCCTGCCCAGGTCCTTGTCAGCAGTGAGCACGTGTTGACATGTTGCATGCCACGTGGCCTCTGAAAGTTGCGACATCCCCTTTATGTCCTCTCTGTCCCAGTTCAGATCCACCAGAATGAGGATGGTTTGTGGTTAAATCCTAGCCAGGGATTTAAAAGTAGGCAAGCCCTTTTATTGACTTTTCTGTTGTCAAAGATAAAGATGGTTATTTATTCATCTTAAGTGAATTGTTCTACCTTCATTAAAAGCTGTGAGTCAGCTGGGAGCGGTGGCTCACGCCTGTAATCCCAGCACTTAAGGAGGCCAAGTCGGGCGGATCATGAGGTCAAGAGTTTGAGACGAGCCTGGCCCACATAGTGAAACCCTGTTTCTACTAAAAATACAAAAAAGTTAGTCAGGCATGGTGGCGGGTGCCTGTAATCCCAGCTACTTGGGAGGCTGAGGCAGGAGAATCCGCCTGAACCAGGGAGGCAGAGGTTGCAGTGAGCAGAGATTGCACCACTGCACTCCAGCCTGGGCACAGTGCGAGATTCTGTCCCCAAAAAAAAAAAAAAACCTGTGAGTTTTTTGTGAAAGAAAAATGCATCATCCATGTGCAGACTTCTTGCATGGATTTTTAACAATATGCCTCTGGTGTGCACCTAAGTTGAGACTCTGGTGTACACGTAAACTGAGACCCCCAGCTTTGCTTAAAATACTCATAACTAACATATATTGAGTGCTTAATGTGTGCCTTTCCTGTTCTAAGTGTTTTCAAGTATTATCCACACCTCATTGACTGATTTTTCTTTCATTATGTAGGGAATGTGAAAAGACTGCATTTCTTTTTTCCAAGATTCTGTTTTTCAGTAATTTAGGTAGTTTTTTCCTTTAGATTTTATGGCATTAATGTAGCAACTCAGTAACTCAGCATCCCAGATGGACCTGGCCCTCAGCCAGCCAGTGTTTCTCATGCCTGTGCTCTCTGTGTTGATGAGGACAATGCTCTCATCAGGTGTGGTGTGTGTGGTTTTTCTCTAGGATCATCCATGAAGATGGCTTCTCCGGCGAAGATGTGAAACAGTACAAGCCTGTTGTCTACAGCAACACTATCCAGTCCCTGGCAGCCATCGTCCGGGCCATGGACACTTTGGGCATCGAATATGGTGATAAGGAGAGAAAGGTAGGCTGCCGAACCCATAAGCACAGTGACAACAGGGCCTGTCTGTGTTACCCCACTGCCTCCTCTTTACAGTACTGGGCTGCCTTAAATGAACAAGAAGAGACTCTGCTATGTATGAGAGAGATGGTGGCACAGTCACCAGCCTAAGCCATTTCACCCACCCCACCCCACCCCCGTCAAACCTCCCAGCAAACTCACCAACTTTGCAAGTTGCAAGGGCAGCAGAACGCTAGGATTTATTTTGCAGATGAGGAAGAGTTGGCCACAGTTCTAAATTGGGGCTGCCACAACGCTAAGTACCTGTCCTTGAGCAATTATCTTGAGCAAAAAAAAATATGTATTAAACAAAACAAGCCTTGCCCGGCCACCGTCTTCCCTCCTTAGAAGAACTTCCCTTGCCTTGGTGTGGAGTGGGATAGCCATTTGAATTGACTGTCTTTCCCCCTTTACACCAAGGGCTGTTTTCCGCCTCCCCCAGATAAGTATGAGGACCTAACAGGGCTCTCCTTCCTGTAGGAATTCGGTGTCCTAAGAACAGGGACTGTTTGGGGGTTACGTTTCCAGGCTTCTATTAAGTGGTAAATGGAATCAGTATATATAAATGCCTCTAATTTGCATACATTTATATTAACTGTTAAGACTGAACTATATACAGCTACACTGGCAAGGCTAAATAAAAGGAGGGAGGGAGAGAGGGAGAGGAGAAAATAGCCTCAGAATTCTATCCAGAAGCAGCTCTTTGTCCCTGTTTGGGACTGAATCTCAGTGATCCTCCCTCTGGGACCTGGAGATTAGAGAAGGAGGCAGAGGGCAGGCAGAGCCTCCAAGCACCTGGGCTCTGCATCTGAGCCTCTGGATGGAGAGCATTCATCTCTGATTGCTGTGTGATTTGATTCTACATTATACATGTCCTGTCTTTGCTAAAACTCATCTCCGTCACAGAGGAAAACTGTCCTGGTTGTCTCTGTATCTGATAAATCATCTGTGACAGATAGCTTTAAACATAAAATTTAATATGTTGTTCACAAAATCCTAATTCCATGGGGCAGAGTCATCTGGCCCTGGCATTGGCTTCTCCAGGTACTGGGGAATTGGGTGACCAAGGGTACGTCTGAGGCCAGCCTGGGGTGGAGAAGCTGGGTACTAGCAGGGGGACCTGGGCCCATCTGCTGCTCCTCCTGGAGGCCAAGTTGGGAAGTTGTTTCTACAAAGGAAGCACTTGAGACCAGCTTTGAGTTTGGTCACAGAGCCAGGGCCTGTGGAAAGAGGGAATGGGGGAGTGGATCAGCACATTCACTGCAGGCTTATGATGTGTGAGGCTTTATGCTAGGTGCTGTGGATACAGGAATGAGAACAGCAGGAATGGTGTCTGGTTTCAGAAAGCACCTATTGAGATCATTAGAACTAGCCCAGATGAATACAGTGCTTCATTCTTCTTAATAGCAATAGCAGGGATAAAAACAGCTACCATTTGTTGAGCACCTACTGGCTGCCGGGCACATACTGAGCATTTTACACATACTGACTAATTTTATTTAACTCATTTTATTACAGCCCAGAGCAGGGAGTGCCTCATCTTATCTTCAGTCATGGCACAAGCCACAGGCCTCTGGCCTCTCTGTCTCCCCTTGGCTAAATAGGGAGTGGGGAGCATGGTGTCTGAATCTCAGGCACAGTGCAAAAGGCACACCCCCTACACACACACACACACACACACACACACACACACACACAGCACTTGAGATCTTCTAGGAGCAAATGTATTCATCACCCAGCCAGCTCTTTCTTTCTGAAAATCTCCTATGCTGATTATAACCCAAAAAGGTCAGTGTGGTTTTGGAATACTTCTCTCCTTCCATTTTGGAAAACATTAATTGTTCCCATGGGACTTTTTTTTTTTTTCCATTTTATTATCCTGAAGAGAGAGATGATTGCTTGGGAATTGCTAGGACTATGATATGTTAAGGGTTGTACTGTAGGCCCCTGGGAAACAGGGACCCTTCTCTGGCTATTTCTCCTCCATGGGATTTCCCAGTCAAGTGAGCCTTCAAGTAGGAAGGAGAGGAAGGCTCCAATGGAAGGAGAGACTGAGAGCTGAGTGGGAATCTCTGGAAGGTCCACTGGACGCAGTCAAGTCCAAGCCTAGTCCTGTTATGGAAGGTGGCACCATGGCCAGCACCCAGCCCGTCCCTAGGGCAACACAGCCTTGTCTGGTGTGAGCTTCCTGGTGAGCAAAGGCTTCCCTAGCACTCGGGCACCCCCTTCCTGTATTCTTACACCTGTGAGGAGCAGGATAGGAGTGAACCCAAAACCCAGGCCAGAGCAAGCCAGACAGCTAGAGAAGGCACTCCTGGGAGCGAGCTGGCATGGATTCGCAGCCTGTGGAGCTGGGCAGAAGAGAGGGAAGGCCGCCACTTCTCCCCTCTCATTGAGGAGGCACACCCGGCCTGAAAAGGCTACAGAAGAGAGTGGCCACCACTTCTCCTCTCTGGATGAGGAGGCACACCAGTCCTGAAAGGGCTGTAGCACCTGCTGGTGTGGGGGCAGCTCAGAGTCAAGATCCTTCGCTTTCCATGTTCTCATGGAGCTTCCTATCTGCCAGTATAGGCAGCAGACAAGCCCACAACTAGGTGACTGCCTAATGTCAGATAATGCTAAGGGCTGCAAAGAAAACAAAATAAGGTGATATGAGATCCTGATCTGGGGGTGGGAGGAGGAGCTACTTCAGAGTGGGAGGACGAGGGGACAGAAAGTTCCAGACAAGCACCCAGGCCCTGAGGGAGGAGTGAGCCTGGTGCAGAGGAAGATAAAGCTCTGTTCAGCTAGAGCTACCTGCAGCCAGGCAGCTGCTGATGTCCAGATGCCCTGAGCCCAGGGCTGGGTCCCCACATTACTCTGTCTCTTGGGTCCCCAGCCACTCCCCACCTAGGGGATCTGCCATTTGGATGTTGGGGAAACCACCTCATGCAGCACGAGCCCAGATCCATGTTTTGGTCTCTAAAGAAGAGACCTCCTTTCCTTTCGTATTTTCTTCACCTCTGTCACCCACCACCACTCATCAGGGGGTGTCTGGAGGAAGACAGATCCGCTCCTAGCACCTGCTGGTGCCAGCCAGCGTTGCATTCTCCACACAGAAAAGCACCTAAGAGCTTCCTTGATGTACCTTGGTGTCAGCCCCTAGAGCAGGTAGGTGTCCCTGACTTTCCCCGACAGCTGACTCACCACCTGCCCTGGCCCCCAGGGGAAGGAGGACTGGCGGGTTTCTCCCCCAGCCTCTCTGGTGTGGAGTCACTTGGGGCCCCATGACTGTGCACGAGCCTGAACCTGAAAGAGTCTCTGCTCAGGGCAAACAGCAGGGACCTCCTTATGTCCGTCTATTGTTTCCATACCCCAGGCCTTAGCCTCAGACTACAGACCCCTCCCAGGGACCCCATGCAGTCTCATGCCTCTGGGCCTTCGCTGGGGTGTGCTCTCTGCCTCTAATGCCTTCATCTTTCCTCTTCCCTCTTCTCTGTGGAATTACCCGACTCAGTAAGGACCCACTAAGCTTCATCTTGTCCATGAAGCCTTCCCCTTTCCTTCTCTGAGGAAGAAACTCAGCTCAGTGCTTTCTCCATGAAGCTCTTATCTCACACACTGGCATGAAGATTAATTGTCTGTGCATCTTTTCGTAGAGCAGTGGGCCCTATGGTATAGTCAGAGTCCTTTGAGCAGCTAATGAAAGCCACGAGCCTTTCCTCCAGGTCAGGAGACACAAGCACACATCCAGGAAATTCTGCATGCAATTTCAGGGGGCCTGACCCACCAACGGAGCCCAGCCTAAGAACCCCTTCATAATTTAAGGTCATCTGATCAAGGCCTATGTCATTTATCTTTGGGTCACCTCCTCACTCCAGCAGCCAACACAGCGCTCAGCACTTAGTAGGTCTTCAAAACCCATCCCTTTAATGGAATGACATTTTGAACTTTCCCAGTTTTCAGAGAAAAAAGGCAAAGTGCTTGTGACTTTATCACTATGTGAACAGCTGTTGATTTGAGTACCTACCATGTGTAGGCTTGGTGTTAAGCCCCATGTGACGATTCAAAGGCATGTGAGTTGGATCCTTTAAGGAGCTGGTCATCTTCCTGGGAAGATGGAGCTCACAGGCAGAGTGAGCACAGCCCTTGCACATAGTGGGCAGGAAGAGCTGCTTAGTAGGAGTGGAGCTGGAACTGTCCTTGAAGCACAGGTAGAGTTTGACAGGTACAGGTGTAGGTCAGCAAAGGCCCTTGGAGCCAGGAAGGAACGTAATAGAGGCAGTGGTTGGTCATGAGGGAAAGAAGAGTTAATTGGTGGAGGAGGTCAGTGGCCTGAACAGAGGACTGGCGTCTGAACAAGGTGTGGGAAAGCTGGAAGGTCTAGTTGGCTGCAGATTTGGTAGGCCCTGGAAGGTAGGCCAGGGAGTTTGGGTTTTATCCTGTTAGCAGTACGCAGCCGTGGAGCGATTCTGAGCTGGGACGGGATGAAAGTGAGACTTTGGGAAATTATGATATTGGCATGTGCAGAGTGGATGGGGTGGGGAGGAGGGTATTGTCGGGGGAGACTAAAGATGGGGGGGAGGTGAAGAAGCTCCAGCAGCAGACCACAAATAAGGCGCAAGGGGCTAGGTGAGGGGTCAGAAAGGCATCAGAGTGAAGCGTAGCAACAAAGGAAATACAGGGACCTGGTGATTAATTGGCTGTTGGAAAAGGATGTAAGGATCAAGAAACTGAAACTCTGGTGTCACCAGCCTGGGTGGGTGGGCACAAGGTGGAACCTCAGCCAGAAAGCCAGGAAGCGTGTGGGTCGGGACCACAGAGGGTGAGTCAGCTTCCAAACCTAAGGGGTTTCCAGGTGGGGGAGGTCTGCACATATCAAATGGATGGATTCAGAGAACTGAAGCCCTGGGAATTACTGACTCTAAGATAATGATTTTCCATTTTTATGTTTCAGAGCCTTTTTCAAACAATTTGCCCTGTTA